AGCATCATGCCAGGAGGACTGTCGGAGCAAGCCCGTGCCCAGGCTGACACAGGCAGCACGTACCACCGGTTTCCGGTTGGATGGCGATGTCCGACAGGCGGACCGGCGCCACATGGTCGTGCGGGATGGCGGCCGGCCGGGCCACGCCGGCGGCTGGCGGTGCGGCCAATCGCGAGCTCAGGGCCTCGGCGCGGCCGAGAATGCGGCCCAGGTCCGGAATGAGGAGCTGCTCAAAGTGCTGGACAAGCGCCCGAGCAGCGGTCTCGCGGCCCGGCGAGCCGGGGCCATGGTGGGCCAACTGCAGCAGGCGAGTCAGACGCCCGGCTGCCAGGCGGAGCTCGGTCGACAGGGCCCCGGCCTGCATTGAAAGCGCTTGCAGGCCGGCGAACAGGCCACCCTCCGAGGGCTCGATCGACTCGTACTCCTCTGGCGATGGGGGAGGGGGGGAGGGGGGAGGGGTGGACGAGGGTGAGCACATGAAGGAGCCCCTGCGCCGGGGGATTGAGGCAAGCGCCGACAGAGGCCGGCCAAGTGGCCGGGCAAGGAAGCCGGCGGGCGGGGGTGAGAAAAGGGGGGGGGGGGCGAGGCCATGTACCAATCGACTGCGCGAGAAGACGCAACGCATTGCCGAGCGATCGCGAATGGAGGTGCATCTGGCGGAGGAGCCACCGGATGCGGAGCCGCTGCAGCAGGCCCGGCTGCCCGTCATCGAAGAAGGCCAGCCTACGCCGGGGCGGGAACATGGAGGGGAACATCAGAGGCGCGGTGGTGAGCTTCGAGCCAGAGGCCCAGCACAGGCAGCAAGGACAGACCCTCGAAAGGGCCACGCACGTGTCTGATGTGAGGGCACGCAGGACCAGCGGCCGCAACGTGCCGATGGCCTGCAGCCGGCCGCGCAACGACAGCAGGGAGCTCGGCCCGGCGTGTGGGCCAGCCACATGGGCGGCCGAGGCCACGGCCGGGCCATGCCCCAAATCGGCCAGCTGCCGGATGCGCTCGGCCCAGTCATATGCGCCGAGGTTGTCCCGGAGGACCTGCAAGTGCGTGGCCTCGGGCAGGGCTCTGCAGAGGGGGAGGGGGGGGGGGGACCCGGCGAGAAGACCGGGGATGGGGTCAGACAGCGGGCAGAAACGACCAGGCAGATGGAGGGCAACGGACCGGAGAACCTGCCCTGGCAGGGTGGCCAGCACTTGGGAAACCAAGTCCAGCAGGCGTGACAGGGCCAGGCGCAGGTTCAGGGCATGCTGCTTCCGGCCGGCCGGGCCACCGGATGCCGCCTCCATGCGAGACAGCACTTCGCCACTGACGTGGCTGTTGTTGTGCGTCACCAGGGGGGGGGGGAGGGGGGAGGAACAGGCGTGCGCAGAAGCACGTCGAGACGCGTTTGGCCAGCGGGCGTGTGAGAAGGGCATGCTGACATGCGCGCACATGGCGGCGTGCGGCGGTGCAATGGTCCCGCAGGCTGACGCAGCGCGGGAGCAAGAGACGACGACCCGCGGGCCATGAGCCATGGAGACCACACGACCCGCAGCCCATCGGGCCACGCACCTGGAGAAGCCCCGGCTCAAGAGCTCATCATCGATGATGGCCGCCAGGGCGCCGAGAGCCAGGCGCTCGAAGCACACAAGGCGCCGGGCCAGGAGCCCCGTCATGTCCAGCAGGGCGGCCACCAGCGGCCCGCGGTCGGCCGCGGCTTCGGCGTCGCAGCAAACCCGGCAGCCAGGACGCAGCCGAGCCTGGGGGAGGAAGGCAGGCGACGTGAGAAACAGCCCGGGCAGGGCGCCAGCAAGGAAGCCACCCAGGGCAGCCAGCCCCGGCGATCGGATGACCGGGCGCCTGATTACCGCGCAACCTACCGCCAAGGCGACCAAGCCGAGGGCCTTCACAATGCCAGCCCCGAAGGCGGCGCCGGCGCCCGGCTGGCCGGGATGCCCCGCCCGGCAGGCATCCGGCACCGGAAGGGCCCGCGAAAAAAAGACCCAGAAGGAGAAGCCGCCGGCCCGGGGGGCGCCCTCCCCGGGGCAGGCCCCCGCCGGCAGGTCGGGCAGCAGGTGGCCCCGGTGCGCCGGCCGGAAGCGAGCCACCGCCGCCAGCAGCGGTCCAAGGGTGCCGGCCTCCAGGAGCTGGGCCGGCGAATGGTGCGGCTCCACGCTGCCCGGGGCGGCCTCGCAGCCCGCCGGACACAAGTACAACCGACAGCAGTCCTCGCAAAAGAGGCACAGGCAGGACGCTCGGCCGAGGATCTCTCGAAGGGCCAGGCTGTCGACGAAGCCCAGGACCTCCTGGCGGAACCCCTCGGCTGAGGATGCCGCGCCAGCCCACACCACGTCATGGCCCACCTCCGAGGGGGGGCCCGGCTCGGCCGGGGTGCTGGGGCCTGCGCCTGAGCCGGCCAGCTGTGGCGCCCAGACCGGCCCCGGGGATGGCGGGCACCAGAGACCCGCCTCCGGGAAGATCTCCCCGTCGGGGCCAGCTGCATCGGGTCCGGGAAATTGAAAGCCGCCAGCCAGATCCGCGGCGGCGGCGGCGGCGGCGGCGTCGGGTAGCTCGTCGGCCAGGCAAGGCAGGTCCATGGGGGGGCAAGCAGATGCGCGAGGGCACGGGCGCCGGCACGCACAAAGATGCGCGAAGAAGGCACACGCGCACTGGGCGGGGCGGGAGAAGGGGGGGGG